CTGTCTTATTAAATTGGAACTTTAAGCATCGTTTTGCCTTCGACTCTGATTTAATTCTGCATGGTATTTGGAATGCTGACAAATGCTTTATGGTGGCTACACAAACACAATCGGTTGCCAAAACCAGTTATAGATTATTAACCTTCTCACATCAATATGCTTAATGCTGAACCCAGATTTTGTTTCTTGTTCTTAAATCCAACAGAGTATTTTCACATTAATTCAGGCAGAGATAATACATTACAGTTATCAGAACTGAATAAATAATTTCTAAGCCTGAGAAAAGAAAATGAAATAAAAACTTGGACTCATTTTTTTTCCCCCATTTCTTTCAATGTAAACTGGCAAGAGGACATCTATTCACACATTTACATTTCCAAAATTTAAAAAAAGGCAGATACTGCCTTGAACAGATGTCTTTAATAGGGCATGCTTTGCTTCTCTGTCTTTTAACTTCATGTTGCATAAGCGCCAAATGAATTTATGGCGGAACATCAAGAATGCTTACCTTAAATTCCCCCATTAGACTATCAGGACGCAAAGAGTAAGAATCATAAACCTTTAAGGAAATAAAAGAATAAATTGTAACTTTTAACTTTAACAAAAAGTAAAGCAATAATAAAGACAATTGTTGGTTTGCCTTACCCGAATGCTTATGGTTTCGTCAAAGAGCTCTGAAGGTGTCATATTGTGCATGTTGTAGAAAAATATCTGTTAGGAAGGGGAAACAGTTTTAGACAAAATCTGCAGGAAAAACTGGGGTGTAACATAGGGGCGTTTGATGGCTACGCTATTAAAATAAATGAGAAGTCAGTATGTGACTAAACTCTTGAATTCCATTGTGTAACGGAAGAACCTGGGGGGTGGAGTTAAAAGAACCATCATCCTAGAATCTCTATAAAACCTCTAATAGACCAAATCCAAGCTCCTTGAATTCTGTTGGCCCTTATCCGGGGTTGAAATTCAGCAGGTTCTGATAGGTTCTGCAAAACCGGTAGTGGAAATTTTGAGTAGTTTGGAGAACCGGCAAATACCACCTCTGGCTGGCCCCAGNACACACACACATCTAAACTTACAGGAGGCTCATCTCCTGTTCCAAGAACAAACATGCTGACTTTCAAATAGCCTTTCGGGTTAGAATTGCTGTCTTCGGGGTCATTCAAAAGCAGCCATTTTCTCATAACTGCATGGCCTGAAAAAAGGAAAAGAACATCGAAGCCAAGTCACAAATCATGTTCACGTGAATTTTTTTTTTTAAAGAGTGGAGCCTTTTGTAAGTTGTGATGGTGGGAAAAAGAGTTTCTTCTGTTGTTCCTGCTGCTGATGTGCGGAAAGGAAGACGTGAACTTGGAGCTGGGACTGACTTCAAAGGATGTTGTTGTGTTGATTGCTTGCATACTTCCATATGTAAGAGCATTAGGCATGCATTTCTACATAAGGGCAACATTTTCTCTTGGGTGAGTGCTGGTTCTATGTTGCACCGATCAGATTAAACTAGAAAGGAGAGGTGAGTTCCACTGTCTACCTTTGGTTACCGATGGACATAGGTGATTTTTTCCAACATGGAGATTTGTGTAGCCATAGTATTTACTTGTTTTCTTTTGGGGAAGAACCTCATGCTGATTATTCTTAACTCATTTTGCCGACGCTATTTCCAGAGATGCTGATGGCCATGACTTCTTACAGCCAGCATTTATTAACTGCTCCCTCCTGCTTCACTCTGCATACCCACTCTATATTTGTTAGCATGATTTATATCCTCTTCTGTAGGTGTGGCCTGCTTTCCGGGTCAACTGGTGGAACCTCTTCTAACCGGTTCGGTAGATTTGATGAACCGGTTCTACCGAACAGGTGCGAACTGGTAGGAACCTACCTCTGCCTTAGCTGTAACAATGTTATAAGGGTTAACCAGAGAGGCAGTTTCTGTAAGCAGGGCAATAAAGATTATGCTAGAAATAACACTAGAATGTTTCCTTCCTGCCTTCCTTTACAGGATTAGCCCTGTAAAGTGGGGGGAAAACCAAAATAAGATTTCTTCCAACAACCGGTTCTCCGAACTGCTTAGAAAGTTAACAACCGGTTCTCCCGAAAAGGTGCGAACTGGCTGAATCCCACCACTGGTACACACATCTTTAGAAGCAGCTTAAGGAGTCATAGACACGGAGTATCTGGCACTTAATATCTATCACTCAGGTAACTTAAAAGTCAATTAAATTCAATACCTCAAACACGTACCACAACGAAGCAACTCATTCTACCATATGTTAAAAGAGAAAGACTGATAGTTGATTTCCCTACCAGCAGATTTATTGACACACTGTACATTTTTATGAGTGAGCATAAAATCTCTTTTTCTTTAAAAAAAAAGACTTACTTTTAGTTAATAACTATACATTGCAATTTTAGTGCCCTGCTGATAACTGTGACACTGAAATATATCCCTTCTTTCTGTGGTTGAATATACAGGCTAGATCAAGTCTTAAAATTAGCCCCACCCTAGTCAAAGCATCTGTTACTAGATATTATTAAGTCTCAATCAACCGAAGGAATTTTGCATGGAGATTACTTACCAGGTTCATCATAGACATAACCAACATCAATCTGAAATAGAATTATATTAATATTATTGCCTTAGAGTTAATGATAGAGTAAGCAAATAAATGTGATAGACTATGTATGTGGCTTTAAAGCTCATTTGCTTTCAGTCACAGATCTGAATGCCTCTTCTGTCACAGGAATCTAAATTTAAACAGGCATAACCAAAATATATTTACATTAAAAGTAAGCGATACTCAAACTAATGATGTCACGCCTGCATTTATATTCCTTTTAGAATTTCGGCCTGCCACACTTTTTCTTATTTCATTATGCTGTTTCTTTAAGTGTAGTCGATGGGATGGGGGGAATAGAAGGAGTAGGATTGTGGAATGCATTGTTTTTCATTCTTTACTAGAAGTCAAGGTCATCCTTT